GCGAGCGCCAGAGCGACGCGCGCAGCGCGTCCGCGGCGCTCAGCGCTGGCGTCAGCAGTCCGGCGCGCGCGCAGTCCGCGATCAGCCGCCCAAGCGCCTGCTGGTCCTGCAGTCCGGAGCCTCCCGCCGCGCGTGCGACGGCCGCGGCGCGCGCGGACGCGCCGAAGCGCATGTAAGCCGCGACGGCCGCGGCCGCGAGCGGCGGCGGCAGGCGCGGAGGGAAAAGCACGGGCTGCTGGCCGGCCCGCGCCGCGGCCTGGGCTGCGGCCGCCGCCCGGCCGCCGTGCCCGCGCTGGTCGCCATCACGCTGCTGCTTCTGCTGCTGCTGCTGCGCCTGCTGGTCTGCCGCCGCCGGCCCCTTTGCCGCCTGCGCGGCCAGGGCCATGGTCACAAGCTCAGAAATAGGGTAAGGGTCCTCCGTTCGCATGACTGCGGCGCCGAGCGCCCCGCCGCTCCCATCCCCGTCCGCCCGCCTCTCGCTCGGCCGCTGGCGGCCAAAGCGCCGGAGGTGCTCCAAAGACATGCCCCCGGGCCGCAATAGGCGCGACAGCAGCAGTGCGTCGACGTCCGCCACGCTGCTGCAGCGCCGCAGCAGCGGCAGCGCAGCCCGCGGAGAGATCAGCGGCGGCAGCAGCGGCGGCGGCGGCGGCGGGGCAGGGGCCGCCGCCACGGGCGCCGCGGCGCCGCCACCACCCTTCGCTTCCCGCTGCCGCCGCTGCGGGTCCTTCTGCTGCTGCTGCTGGTGCTGCTGCCGTCGGGGCGGCGCCCAGTCCTGGAGTTCATACAGAGCCTCCGCAACACTACCGTCCCCAAACAGCGCGCGCCCAACGTCCCCCGCGCCGCGCCGACGGCCGCCCGCGGCCGTGTGCACGTCGGCGTCTGTCCACCCGTCGCCGCCGCTGCCGCCCGCCAAGCCGGCTGCCCGCATGTCACACTCCACCGCCGCCTCCACATAGGCCCTGACCACACTCAGATTCATCGGCGCCGCCGCGGGCGCATCACCGGCGCTGGCGCTGCCGCCCCCACCCGCGCCCTCCGCGCCGTGCCGCGGCCCGAGGTGCCGCCACACCCCAGCCAACAGGTCGGCGTTCCCCGCGCGGCCGCAGGCGGTCAGCAGCAGGGCGAGGGTCGAGGGGGGGGGCCTGGCGCCCGGCATGAGGCAAGGGGACGAGGGGTCGCCGGTGTCATAGATGCGGGACGCGGCCGCGACCATCTGGTGTGTGTGTGGGGGGGGTGGCGTGTGCGTGTGTGTGTGTGTATGTGTGTATGTGTGTGTGGTTGTGGGAATCTGTGTGGGAGGGGGGTAACGATGCTCGTGGGTGGGTGGGCGGGCGGACAGTGCAAGGCATGTAGCGGCCCAATCAGGCGGGGCCCAAGCCGCCTGCACAGCGCCGAGCGGAAGGTGCATACAGACATCCACCCACACCGCCAAGCGTTGCATGCGCTGCAAGCGCTGCATGCGCTGCACGACACAGGTCAGCGTGGCAGCTGGTCTGCATGCTGGCCGCAACCCTGCTGACACACAGCAGCACAGGAGCGGGCCTCCAGGTTCAAAATAAACCAAAACGCACCTTTGACAGGTCGCCCTCTCGGTCGTACGCCTGCAGCACCGCGTGCACCGCCGACCGCGCCCGCCGAGGCGCCACCTGCCCGCGCTCGATCAGCAGCTCGACAAACGCCTGCGCGTGGCGCGCGCTGCCGCCGCGGCGCGGGTCGGCGAGGTGGCGGGCGGCGAGCAGGGCTGCATGGCCGGGTAGGCCGGGGCGGTCGGGGTGGGAGGACGCCCGCGCGCCTGGCGGGTGGAGCAGGTGGGGGCGCAGGGGCAGGGATGGAATGTTATGGGGGCGGGCAGGGTCCTGTGGGATGCTGGAAACAGGGGGCTTCGCAGCAGAACAGCGGCTGCAATCAACGCTGCCGCAAACCCGCCTTCGACTGCAGAGGGGCTTTCGTCCGCGCACCGCCGCGGAAGAGCCGCACACGCTCCCCACCTGCGCCGCCCCCGCCGCCGCGCCCGACAGAGGCCGCCTTGGCCTGCCACAGCTGGTCGTGCCGCGACAGCGCCGCCACCAGCTCCCCCACGCGCTGCCCCTGCGCGGCGGCCACCACTTCCGCCAGCCAACGCCGGGACGCCTCGCGGCGCGTGCTCCGCAGCTGCGACGGGCAGGGGGCGCGGCAGGGCCGTCTGCTGCGGCAACAGCCTTGGTTGAGGTTGCATTCCCTGGGTAGGGGTGGCGACATTTCACGCAAGCAGCTGCTCCGCGGTGCAGCACACTTTCCTCACGTCGACACGATGATGCCATTGCATTTCTGATCAACATCTGAAACACCGCGTTTGAGAGGGAGGTCCTGGCCCCAACTGCCGAGCATGGCGGCGCCGCAGCAAGCGCCTGGTGCCCCACCTCTGCGCGAGCCAGTTGCTCCTGGCTGCGCTGCGCCAGCCGCTGCTGCCGCTGCTGCTCGAGCTGCGCCGGGCTGGGGCCAACGGCTTTCCGCAGCTTCTTAATGAGGAGGGTGCGGCCGGGGAACACGGCTCCGAGCAGGGCTGCGGGACGGATGGGTGCAGGGGCGCGTGTGTGCGGCGGAGCCAGAAACACAGCTGGGACTGATGGAGGCGGCGCAAGCAGGGGTCGCTGGGGGCCAGGTGTTACAGCAACTGAGATAAGTGCTCACCAGGCCTCGCCTGCTGCATGCTCACAGCCACCGCGGCACCCGCCACGGCAGCGGAGGTGCTGAGCCCTGCCGCTGCTGCTGGCGGCGCTGCCGCTACACTGACGGCCGCTGTTCCATGACCGCCGCAGTGCTGCAGCAGCACAGCGGCCTTCACCGAGTGACGCATAGTCTGAACGCCACACCACGGGCGTGCTACCAAATTTCAGAGACTGGCTGCTGCCATCAAGCCGCGAGATCAGGGAGCAGGCATGACGGCGCGGTGTAGGGCGCGAAAAGCTCTTGATATGACGCTTTAGATCGGGCGCGATTTCTAAGTGAAGGGATAACCGCGGCCTGTAGGCACTTGGGTGATCTACTACGTTGAATCAATTCAATTGTGAAGTCGTCAACACACAGAGACTATGTAAAAAGAGTACAGTCCAGGTGCACGTAGCTTGCAGGTTCACATGTAGCAACGTATGATACAGCCGCTGCACAAGGCGGCACTGCTGGTGACGCCGCTCGGCGGTGCTGCACACAAACGCTTACCCCCACCGGCCACGCATCAATTGCCCTCAAATCCAAGTGTAAATACATATACGTACTTTTCCTGCACTTGAGAGCCACGACTGTCAAGTAGCGGCTTTTGTGTGGCTTGTCTGGGCTGTATCTGAGTGTCCACGACAGCTCTATTGTATAAACATATAAATTGCTCAGCGCTAGACCTGCAGGCGAGCTGGCGGCAGCCATGTTTTGTCATATGATTCTTGATATTGCAGTGATGCACTCCTCTGGCATGCTTGACACCTTGTCACCCCCACCTTTGCACGGCGCATCGCGCATGCACCCACCGGGACGGTGAACCCCAACGAGCGCACCTCGTAAGCCCATCCTGCCCTGCTCCATTGATTCACACCAGCAAATCCACAAACTGGCGTGCGGCAAATTCATTTTGCTTTGCCACCCTGGCGTGCCCCTACCTGACATGTGACGTTTCAACATAATTTGTACAGTGGCAGTCGCTCACCCTGTTTGGCCGTAAAACCTGCCCAGACGTGGTGCTCGATATGGAGCCACGATACCAGGCCCTGCCTGGTGAGACTCACAGCGCTGCTCGAGTCAAGGTGCCGCGCGCCTTTCGCCATCACACACGCGTGCACAGTCTGCGATAAATCTGATGTACTTTCAATACAATTGGCTGCAAACCTCTCTGATGTCAGCTGTTCTGAATTGCTTCGGACATCCCTGGCCCTGCTAGAAAGGACCCTGGTGCAGGAGGGTCAATACAAAGCAGCACAGCAGGGAAGGATCGTGCCTCACCAGTTGGGTGGAAGAGATAAGGGAAGGGGACGTTTGAGCTGTAGCTTCGTACATGCACCAAGACCCGCATTAGCCCTGTCCTGAAGTTTTTAAGCCGGTTTGCTTTCAATGGCAACGTATTTGCTCAACAGTCGTGCTGTTGCTGTCCCAGGCTATTGGGCCTCATTGGCTGGCCTCGACTGCATTTGCGGTGGGTCCCTCTTGCCAGAGGCGTGGCGTGGCAGCAGCTGTATGTGCTGGCGGCCTGCACACGCTGCATACGTATGTGATGTCGTGCGTGATGAATGGATGCCAGTGCACAGCGAGCTGATGAACGCGGGGACAGATGCGGCAAGCACGCAAGTCAGCGCATGGCCGTGACACGATGGCGCGATATGATCTCCTGCGCTGTGTGCGTGTGATTGAAGAAGAAACAACGTGCATGCACAGGATGACGCAAGCCACAGCACCATCACTTGATGCATTTAACTGAAATTTTTGTAGATGCAACATATTTGAGCTGGACCTGCACTTCTGGATCCAAGATATGCCATGACCACATTACGCAGGAAGACCCCTTGTACCTGTACACCCTGCAAGATGAGGAGCTGACCCGCAGCCTACGTAGAGCAGCGGGATGCAGCAGCACAACACAGCCACAAGGCGGACCAGACTAGACCGGCTGGCTTAAGGAGCGGTGCCATGCAATTGTCCAGTAGCATCTCTGGCAGCTAGCATGCGGTCTGTGCAATTTCAGAAATAGACGTGCGTTGGACAAACGCAGGGCCGCTGGCCGGCACCCACAGCAATTTGTGAGGTCCTGCCGATGGCGCACTGCTCGACGGTGCTGGTGGCCCTGGTGCAAGGAGAGGAGCTGCAAGCAGTAGAGAAGGCGGCGCGAGTGGAGGAATGTATGGGACGTGGGTTGATGAGGTTCAAAGCTCCAGCGGTAAGTACAAGCTATATGCGCGAGCTGTACTGTAGAAGGGCTGAGCAGCAGACAGCACATGTGCCTAGTGGCAGCAGCTGCCATGGCTGCGGCTGCGAAGGGACGGTGTCACTTTTGGCTGCATCACATTGAGCAACTTTGGCGAATTTGAGGTACGGATACACCACGTGGTTGACCTCGGTCTGACACGATCACTGATGGTCAAAATTATCCGTTTCCCATGAGGGGAGTAACAAACAGCAACATGAGTGCTCGTGAAAGCCACCCTGCGTGTGAAGCGAGGCACATCTCCAGCAATCGGGTCGCCAAGCAGATGTCAACGGGCCCTTGAACTCCAAAAAGTGATGAACAGACTCCAACTTTGGTGCCCTTTGTGGTTGATGCCGAATAGCTGCGAGTACATGCCACCAATTGCTTCGAGTAGGTTACCTGATTGTATCATACGCGTAGGGCACCCAGTCGAGGCTGCAACAGGTCGCGAGACGAAAGGTCGCGGTCTTGACGCGGGAGAGTCCAAATCATCGGAGCACATGTAGAGCGCACAATTCAATAAAGCTTGATATTCAAATACAGATGCCTAAACATCGTATTCTCATCAGCAGCAAAGGAGCCCGGACGGAATAGGCGCGCAGTTGTGATCTACAGCGAGGTCACAGGCAAGTTGAGGAGTGTGCTACAGTAGGAACTTGAATAATGCAACATAACGCTTTTGGAGCACGTCGCTCAGCTCCCGGTATCAAGGATTATCTCCATTTGACCGTATTCCAGCTGGGTGACCGGGAAACGAAGCTGGGTGCCAAGAAATTGCCCATGTGCATCACTTGTCCCCACCTGCCTCTGCAGATCCGCGAGGCCCGTCATCCAGCGACTGTCTGGCCCCGCCGTTATCAGGATGTCCATTATGTTTTCCGCGTGTGATGACTTTGTGAAGCGGCCGTCGACTCCTGCCCTGTCACGCAAACATCAAGGGATGAACCTCACTAGTCCCCAAACTTGCAGGTGGGACGTGTTGACCGGTGCGCAATTGGCCTCTGGATCGGGCTGCCTTCACTCCTGTATGAAAAGTCACCATATCACCAAGGCACGGCGTAAACTGCTTTCAGCATTTTAGCCCACAACATGTTTTCATCACCAGCACGTGCTCAAAGCACACCGTAGGCTGTCAGCCGCAGGGCTTTGTTTGAGCGCAGCTGATACGGCTCATGTGACTTTGGACTCAGCTGGCCTTTGCGGTTTTTGGCTATCTTGAGACACAAGAGCCACCCATCAGAAATGATCGTACAGGTGGTACTGTACCAGGGCTTGGTGATGCAAAGGTTGTGTGGCCAATTGAACTCACTCACACGCCAGTCAGCAGTGTACTACTGTACGCCATAATCTTTACTGAGCCACCTGCTCGTTCAAGCAAACAAGCGAGTGGATCGTCCGTCGTCTGCTGAAAGATGCGTGCAAGGGCAGGTTCACTTGCTGCAATGTCGAGACCTTGTCCCTTAAACATGCGGTTCGCACTGCAAGTTATAGGGCTGGGGGCCGCAGTATACAAAGCGGCGGTGCGTGCTTCAATCTTGGCGTGATGCAGTTGTCTGGGGGACAGGCTCGCGTTTCTCCATCTCCTGCACTCAGAAAGGTGAAGGGAGGGGGGGAGCGACTGCCGCCGACAGTTGAACAGTGGCTCCGCGGCGTGGAAAGGAGCGGTCTGCATTGAGCAACTCGGATATTCCTGAACTTACTGGCCGATCTTTGATGACAAAAAATGTCGCTTCCGCCGCCCCAAAGAGGCTCGGAACGAGCATGACTCTTCGGGCAGCAACGGCAGGATTCCTCGTCAGCACCCACGGCCCAACGCTGGAGGACATTCACGACGCTGGAGGACATTGTAGGATGACATTCACTTATACAACACACAGCAGAATTTTTTGTGAGCTTCTTTACGCATTTACAGCCTGGGTTGCTGCGCATTTTCCTTCCGTTCCGCCAGATCACTTCTCGTCGCAGCAATAATGCAGGCCCTTCAGGGCAGTTTCGGTACCTTGGCTTGCCCCCACCGGCCGCGTCGTGGACTGCTTGTGTGCCGGGCCAGCGCTAGTTCTGCCCCTGCCGTGTACACTCCCCCAAGCCAGCGTATCGGCGCCAATGAGCTGCAGGCGCTCTCTCGCCTGTCAAGCGTGGTTCCCGACACGTTGCTTTTGGAGACGCCGGTGCAGCTGAAGGCGGCGACCGTCTCTGCCCAGGTGAGTGTCGCCAGCCGCCTGTCGCCACCTCACCAGGCCTCCATTGGCCATGTTCGCATCCCTCCAATCTATGTTTTGCCGATAAACTTGCCACAGGTCTTGAAGGGAGTGTTGGCATCAGGCCAGCTAGGCCTGAAGCCCTTCATGGTGAGCAAGCTTGCCCTCCTGATCTGTCGAGCACTTCTTGCAACAGAGGTTGCATCATGTTCACCTGCCAGACCCCCAAAAACTCAGCGACCCCGAGCAGCCCGGCGTCGCGGATCTTACAGTGTCAGAACAGCCGCGTGGCGCTGAGTCGCCCCGCACCGGCCCCCCGCAACGCGGGCAGTGCGCGCCTCGCCTGACAACCCCCGCTCCAACGGCCACGTGCGGGCGCCCGACGCCGCGCCGCCCCGTCGCCGCCCCGCTGCGTCCCACTCCCTCCCCTTCTGCACCGAGCAGCACCCCAAACCCCTCCCTCCTGGTGCACCCCTCACCCCCTCTGCTTGCGCCATTCTTTCCGCGCAGAATGCCATCGAGAATTCGCTGACATACGACAAGTGCCTGCAGCTGCAGGGCGCGGAGCGCGCGTCATGCCAGCTGGACAAGGCTCTCGCAAACGTGGGTCGCCGTCACTTGCGCTGGCCGGGGTTTTACACATCACCCCAGGCCCCTTGAATGCGGCCACCAGCAGGCCCCAGGCCGCCTGTGCGAGCGCCGAAACGTGCGCGCCTACAACAGCCCCACCACCCGAGCGCAAGCACACACCCAAAGCAATGCACTTGCCTGTCGAGCCCCGCCGCCCCCGCCCCTTACGGTGAAAGCTCCCCTCCCCGCTCGTCCCCACCAGGTTGGCAGCATGCTGGCGCAGCAGGTGGAGGGGCGCGTGGCCACTGAGCTGGACCCGCGCCTCGCGCACGACAAGGGTGGGCGGCACGGGGGGATGCAGCTCGGCGGGCATGGGATCATGAGCGGCAATATGATAACAGTGCTGGTGGAGGGCGCCCCGCGGCAGAGGAGGCCGCGGCCCGGCGCTACGCGCGGCGGCAGGCGCAAGCGGCGCCAGCTGAGTGCGTGCGCCCCTTCCTTCCTACCTTCAACGCCGCTGGCCCTGCTTTCTGAGCAAACACCCCCCTCCTTTGACCCTCCACGCCGCCGCGTCGCTGCCGCATCGCGTGCGCCTCCCCCGCGCAACGCAGACGCGCTGGTGGCGAGGGCGCGGGGCATCCTGGCGTTGTACCAGGAGATGGGAGTGCCCCCCAGCAAGCTCATCTTCCGCGTGCCCGCCACGTGGGCGGGCATCCAGGCAGCGGCGGCGCTGGAGGCGGAGGGCACCGCCACGCAGGTCTTCCACATCTACAGGTGCGCGGCTCGGGCAGCTGCCGGGCGGCTTCCGGAGGGATTGCAAGGCCGGGCTGCGCTCGACGGCTTGGGGGCCGGGCGGTGCAGCTGGGAAGGCGCAGGTGGACGCGTCGGACAGGCCCGCGGCCAGCTGCTTGTGTTTCATGTGCTATGCGTGTTTTCGAGAAAGCAGCATGCCGTGAGTGTTTTGGTTTGGTCCCCTCGCTCTTGTCGCCGTTTTCATCCGCTCAACCTTGACACATATGCGTGTGGCCCCACACCCGGCCCTGCGCACGCAGCCTGATCCAGGGCATCGCGGCGGCGCAGGCTGGCGTGAGCGTCATCCAGCCCAACGTGGGGCGCACGCGCGACTGGTACAACAAGCACCCCGGCGTGATCAGGGACCCCCACGTGAGGCCCAGGCCCCTGTGGCCGCAGCGCTGACGGACGGCGGCGGCCTGCTGTGACGCGCAAACAAGCCGTCTCAAGGGCCAAAGGGGCTCCAGGCCTGGGGCGCCGCAGCGGCAGAGGCACAGGGCAGGGCAAGTTCGCCCCCGCAAACCATCTGTTTGGGCAATCTCAGTTCGGGCCGGCGTCTGCTGACGTTGCCCATCGCTTCGCCGCGCCATGACGTGCTGCGCGCGTCAACCCTGCCGGACCCTCGACTTGCCGCAGGGCCCGCGCGAGGACAGCGGGTTTGCCAGCCGCGTGGACCCCGGGCTGCAGCTGGTGCGGCGGCTGTACGGCTACGTCAACGCGCGGCACCCCAAGACGCAGGTCATGGCCTCCGGGATCCGCACCAAGGACGGTGGGTGGCCGGCGGCGGGGCAATTCAAAGACGCAATTGCCCGGCTGTGGTGCTGGGCTGGTCAGGCACTTGAACTATTCAGGGCGCGACTAAGTACGCTTCAAGGAATATTTGTTGCTGCCGGCGCACGACACGGGTCGCCTGGCGCGGGACTGCTGCCGGCCCGCCCGTCGGCACGTCACACGCCCCGTCACCCACCGCCACCCAACACACGCCTCGCCCCAACTGTTCCCTTGCAGACGCGCTGGCGCTGGCGGGCTGCGACTACCTGGTGCTGTCAGCACGAGTTATGGCCGACCTGGAGGCCAGCCCCACGCTGCAGGTGCGCGGGCGCGGCCCCGGCCGGCGGCGGGGCGGCCTTGCGGGGGCGACTGCGGAGCAGGGGGGCTGTCGAGCGGCGGGGGTGGGGTGGCAACAGCGCCACGGGCACAAATCGGCAGCTGACTGCGGTTGGTTGGGCTGGCGCTGCGTTTTGAGGCAGCGGCGCCTGCCCAGGCAGCTGCACGTCGCAAGGCCACCCCAACAGCGCTCTTCTGCTCTTGCGCACGTACTTGTGCGCACGCACGCACACACACATGCGTGCGCCCGCTGGTGCACACTATTGCAACACAACCGCCCGCCGTCCCCGCCCCGCCCCGTCCGCGCCCAGGGCTACAACTCCGGCCTCAAGGCCACCGCCTCCGCTGACGAGGACGAGGGCGTGCCGCGCGCGCTGGCGCCGGACACCCTGGGCGACGACGATGACGTGGCGCCGCTGGGGGCTGTGACTGAGGAGGCCTTTAACGACGGCCTGGGGCTGGCTGGCAGGGAGCTGCTGGACCAGGTGGGCATGTGTGTATGTGTGTGTGTGTGTGCACGTGTGTGTGTGTGTGTGTGCACGTGTGCACGTGTGTGTGTGTGTGTGTGTGTGTGTGTGTGTGTGTGTGTGTG